CATGATGCTATTCATAGAAGCACACGGACAGGTGAACGTCATTTTCACGGATGGTAACGTCCGACCCAAGGAGAGAAAGAACATAAAAATTGTAATTTCTGTTCGTTCACAATAAATTTGTGCTGAAATTTGAGCGTGAGTACCGGTAGGCCTAATTATGATATATATTGAATCATTGATTATAAAACTCATGAGTTGGCTGTTGAGTGGAAACTTGCGATGTACACGATAACCACTGCTGTTTGTATGTCTGTGTCCAAAGACGAAGAACAAAGTAAATCATCCGGTGAAAAGAGTGTGAAAATGAAAAGAGCTATGCGTGTAAGATTGAGAAGTAAAAGAATCAGCTTTCTTTAATAGTGAAGTACGCTGTGCTGGTCAAAATCTTTTGTTGGTCACATTTTTGTCCCTGCTCCCGCTTGAGTGTAGGCAGGCAGGCAAGTTGGCAGGTTGGCACGTAGCTAAGTAGATAGGTAAGTATGTATGATAAAGTATTGCTATAGCTATCATCTGACAGACATCAGCAATCATGGTGATCCATTCATTTCTTTGTTCGGATGCTGTAAAGAAAGCTATGTTATCTTGACGTTTCTTTGTCACCCATCTCTTTAGGCCTCAGTTTTGCCAGTGAGAGTCAAGTTCATGGCATGAATAGATGCATAGTTGCACGGATGCATGGACGGGTGGATATATGGATTGATGCATTGATGGATGGGTGGATGGATGGATGATCGATGGATGGTTGTGTGTGTGCATGTGTATGTGTATGTCACCATGTGTGTGTATGTGTGTGTCTGTCTGTGTGTGTCTGTTTATTTGTGCACCCGCGGATATATATATGTGTGTGTGTGTGTGTGTGTGTGTGTGTGTGTGTGTGTGTGTGTGTGTGTGTGTGTGTGTGTGTGTGTGTGTGTGTGTGTGTGAACGGGTTATCGAAAAGATACATTTTATGTTGTTGGGCCAGCTTGAGCATCGAGGATATTTTATCGCCGTTATTACTTGTAGTAGAAATCAATTTATTGTAGTTTCCCCTGTGCATTCATTGCTATGGCAGCACGCACGAGAGCGTGATTAGCTTCGAGCAAGAGAAAGTTATTTGATATGGACACACAAAGCAATAAAGGCTGTGAAGAGCAGAGAGCTTGCTTTTGAGATGTTGCGCTGTATACTATTTATTTTTATATTTTGTAACAGAAGTAGTACCTTTGAAATGAAACGCAATATATAAATATATGTGTGAGGCAGCGTGGTGGAATCAGGCTCTCGTCAATTTTTGGGCATGTAGAGTTATTGGTATCATCTTAAAGCTTGTTCACTTGTCTTTATTTGGATGAAAAAATATATATTTATCTTGAACACAAGTCGAGATATTTGCGAAAGAAGGAGGTGGGGGTCACCTGTTTTCAGAGGTAGTGAGAAAATGGCCGCCAAAGATTAGTTACTTCCTTAGCTTAAGAGTCCGTGGTAACTAAAAATATACAATTTTTGTGCTTCTAATCTACGTTTTTCAGAAAAATCCACATAGAAATTAGTTCTTTAATGGGCATGAAAGGTGTTGATCCAAAAATAAAATTGATAAAAATTCACAAACAGCGGAAAAATGCAAGTTCCTTGGCTTTGATTATTTTGACGAGAGCCTGATTCCACCACGCTGCCACACACACACACACACACACACACTTATATATATATATATATATATATATATATATATATATATATATATATATATATATATATATATATATATATATATATATATATAAATATATATATATATAAAGAATATATATTAAAGAATATATATATAAAGAATATATATTAAAGAATATATATATATAAAGAATATATATTAAAGAATATATATACTAGCTGGGCCCCCTTTTGATGAAAGGAATGATCGGTGCTTTAACATCAACTGGAAAGTCATTGGCCTACTACATTAATTTTACACTCTACTGGAATGGAGCAATAAATCTTGAAAGAAAAGTGACACACGTGTTTCCAAGTTGCCAAATATCTAATAGACGTATAGACTGATTCTCTATTCCGCCTTCGCGGTTGTACACTCCAGAATTTCAAAGATGTGGAACCAGTGCGCATGAATAGTGAACGGAAACCTCACTTGTTTACAATAACGTCTTAGAAGACGGACGTTCCCAAGATTATGTGTCGACGCAACAAAGCATTTTGGAAAAATCAGAGAAAGTCACTTGTGGGGATTTTTTAAAGTAAGGTCCTGGCCACATGGATGCTGTGGACGCCTGCAAAGTTTCAAAGGTGTGGGTGTGTGTACAAAGCCTCCCAAGAAAACATGAGGCTAGATCTATACGGGTCGCACACTTAAAATAGTTCTCAGTATTGCGCGACAATGTACGATAGTATCGAACAGGCGCGGGTCGTCCATAGAGCACGGTCGTGTAGTGCCGCCCAAAAATGTTTATGTTCTATTACGTAAAACACCCACAATAATAAAATAAACGAAGCCAGAAACAAACACTAGCCAAATACTATATCAAAACAAGGTCCTCACTGGCGCCATAACTGTCATTTCTGTGTTTATATCGCCGTAAATCATCCACTATTCCATGTCAAAGTCCATGCGCTTTAGCTAAACATAATAGCATATTCAACAGTGTAACCTGACCTATAAATCGAGTAGCGAGTTTGGCGGTACATTAATATTAATAAGACGGCACATCTCAAATGTGCTCCTTCCGAACAGTGCCGAAACATAGCCCACAGTATGCAGTCTAAAAATAAACGCGACAGACCGTACGGTATTCTTTGCCAATATTATGTGAGCCCCGGAGCAATCCAGCAGAGTGCTCAAGTGCATTGTGATTGGTTCATTTTCTGTCTTGCCACTATTTTATATTAAGTGACTCTGTGACCGTGAACCTGACAGAGGTGAACGTGACCGTCCTATGAGTTGTGCCTTTGAATGGTTTTGTAGTGGAGTAGTGAAAGTTATTACTTGAATGTTCAGCTCCAATACAGGATGAACGAAATTGATGTTTAGCTAACAAACAAATTTAGTACTAGAAATCAAAGCGAGAAGTAAAAGGAATTAAAATAAAAGCAGGAGGTCCTCCCTCGCCAACCCAAAGAACCTAAAATTATACACCGTGTCATTTCATTTAACCTTGACTATCTTCAGCATGCTATAGGTTAAATGTGCACGTCCACTTTTTAGCCCCACGAGCCGCCCCTGGACTTGAAATAAACAAACCTGGCGGATTTTCTAAAATTACAGAGACAGAAGCATCGGCCTACGAAAGCGATCGGCGAAATAAAGAAATTTAGCTTCTTGCAGCAAAACTGTCTCAAAACTGAAAAAAACGAAAGGAGTCATGATCTGGAGAATATTTTAAAGAATCTTTTGGCGAAAACCGCATGTCGATCGATGCAGCCATTAAAAAGCCTTTTGAATAGCAAATTTCGGCCACCACAAATAGATAATAGATATATTGTATGTATACATATATACATATTATATTCATATATATTATATATGATTATATACTTTAAAATAAAGTAAATTATTATATAGAGTATTTATATAGACATATATTTGAATCGTTTACAAGTAATTCAAAACAATGCCGCTAGACTGATAACAAGATCTAAAAAACGAGACCATGTCACTCCATTATTTTAAAAAACTGCATTGGCTCCCTGTAAAAGAAAGAATAATATTTAAAATCGGTGTCATGTGTTTCAAATGTGTAAATAAAACTGCTCCTTTTTATCTACAAGAACTTATCAGTATATATAAACCAGGGAGAAACCTAAGATCATCAAACAATAACACCCTACTTGTGACACCTGTAAAATCATACAAATCATATGGAGAGAGATCTTTCTCATATCTTGGTCCATTCATGTGGAACAGATTACTCATGAAACTAAGACAAATAAAAACACTTGATAGCTTCAAAAGACATCTTAAACATTTTCTGTTCCTACAGGCCCATCCTTCATAAGCTTTTTAACGTTATCTTTCATTATAGTTGTTCTGTTTCTATGTCTGGATGAAAATAGTCTCTCTCTCTCTCTTTCTCTCTCTCTCTCTCTCTCTCTCTCTCTCTCTCTCTCTCTCTCTCTCTCTCTCTCTCTGTGTGTGTGTGTGTGTGTGTGTGTGTGTGTGTGTGTGTGTGTGTGTGTGTGTGTGCATTAATGTATATTGTATGAGAAGAAAAGAAGCAGTAAGAAATGTTTTTGATAAATGGGTATTCCAATGTAAAGCGCATGGATCTACTTTTTTTGGAAATGCGCTATATAAATGTCATATATTCTTATTTATTATATTATGCATACTATATCTATATTATATATCTGTATATATTATTTATTGCATACACCACCACAACACCATGTTTTTAACAGGGTTTTAATTTTTTATACTAATGATGTTATTGCTGAGTAACATAACTCGTGTCATAATTACATCATCAGACTTTCCAAGGTTTAGAAAACCCAAATCGTTAAAGATACCATCCCCAGGAATGACCGGTATTAAACATTGGTTTGACATTGATCCATCAGACGTGTAATTTTTCGCTCCGTCTCATGGTTGTGCTCAAATTATATGACTTTAATTGAGATAATCCAGGTTTGTCATAAAGAATTAAAATTAACTACATGAGTTGTGGTGCAAGATCATGATTTATCCTACGAGTTAAATTGCCAAGTTGCAATCACGAGTTTCAACGAGTGATTACAACTAGCAATTTCACAAGTAGGATAAATCATGGTCTAACACCATAACGAGTATAATAAATGT